CTCCCGTAGCGAAGCTTAAATCCGTCTGAATCATGTTAGCAATTGCCGCATACTATGATTATGAGATATGGCAGATGGACGTCAAAACGGCATTCCTTAATGGGCATCTTAAGGAAGAACTGTATATGATACAGCCGGAAGGTTTTGTTGATCCTAAGAACGCTGACAAAGTATGCAAGCTCCAGCGATCCATTTATGGGCTGGTGCAAGCATCTCGGAGTTGGAACATTCGCTTTGATGAGATGATCAAAGCGTTTGGGTTTATGCAGACTTATGGAGAAGCCTGCGTTTACAAGAAAGTGAGTGAGAGCTCTGTAGCATTTCTCATATTATATGTAGATGACATACTTTTGATGGGAAATGATATAGAATTCTTGGACAGCATTAAGGCCTACTTGAATAAGTGTTTTTCAATGAAGGACCTTGGAGAAGCTGCTTATATATTAGGCATCAAGATCTATAGAGATAGATCGAGACGCCTCATAGGTCTTTCACAAAGCACATACCTTGATAAGATTTTGAAGAAGTTCAAAATGGATCAGTCCAAGAAGGGGTTCTTGCCTGTACTGCAAGGTGTGAGATTGAGCTCGGCTCAATGCCCGACCACGGCAAAAGATAAAGAAGAGATGAGCGTCATCCCCTATGCCTCAGCCATAGGATCTATTATGTATGCCATGCTGTGTACCAGACCTGATGTAAACCTTGCCGTAAGTTTGGTAGGAAGATACCAAAGTAATCCCGGTAAGGAACACTAGACAGCGGTCAAGAATATCCTAAAGTACCTGAAAAGGACGAAGGACATGTTTCTCGTTTATGGAGGTGACGAAGAGCTCGTCGTAAAGGGTTACGTCGACGCTAGCTTCGACACAGATCTGGATGACTCTAAGTCACAAACCGGATACGTGTATATGTTGAATGGTGGAGCAGTAAGCTGGTGCAGCTGCAAGCAGAGCGTCGTGGCGGGATCTACATGTGAAGCGGAGTACATGGCAGCCTCGGAGGCAGCGCATGAAGCAATCTGGGTGAAGGAGTTCATCACCGACCTAGGAGTCATACCCAATGCGTCGGGGCCGATCAAACTCTTCTGTGACAACACTGGAGCTATTGCCCTTGCCAAGGAGCCCAGGTTTCACAAGAAGACCAGGCACATCAAGCGTCGTTTCAACTCCATCCGTGAAAATGTTCAAGATGGAGACATAGATATTTGCAAAGTACATACGGATCTGAATGTCGCAGATCCGTTGACTAAACCTCTCTCGCGAGCAAAACATGATCAACACCAGAACTCTATGGGTGTTCGATTCATCACAATGTAACTAGATTATTGACTCTAGTGCAAGTGGGAGACTGTTGGAAATATGCCCTAGAGGCAATAATAAAAGCATTATTATTATATTTCCTTGTTCATGATAATTGTCTTTTATTCATGCTATAATTGTATTATCCGGAAATTGTAATACACGTGTGAATACATAGACCATAGCATGTCCCTAGTGAGCCTCTAGTTTACTAGCTCGTTGGTCAACAGATAGTCATGGTTTCCTGACTATGGACATTAGATGTCATTGACAACGGGATCACATCATTAGGAGAATGATGTGATGGACAAGACCCAATCTTAAGCATAGCACAAGATCGTGTAGTTCGTTTTGCTAGAGCTTTTTCAATGTCAAGTATCTCTTCCTTAGACCATGAGATCGTGTAACTCCCGGATACCGTAAGAGTGCTTTGGGTGTACCAAACGTCACAACGTAACTGGGTGACTATAAAGGTGCACTACAGGTATCTCCGAAAGTGTCTGTTGGGTTGACATGGATCAAGACTGGGATTTGTCACTCCGTATGACGGAGAGGTATCTCTGGGCCCACTCGGTAATGCATCATCATAATGAGCTCAAAGTGACCAAGTGTTTGGTCACGGGATCATGCATTGCGGTACGAGTAAAGTGACTTGCCGGTAACGAGACTGAACGAGGTATTGAGATACCGACGATCGAGTCTCGGGCATGTAACGTACCGATTGACAAAGGGAATTGTATACGGGGTTTGATCGAATCCACGACATCGTGGTTCATCCGATGACATCATCGAGGAGCATGTGGGAGCCAACATGGGTATCCAGATCCCGCTGTTGGTTATTGCCCGAGAGCCGTCTCGATCATGTCTACGTGTCTCCCAAACCCGTAGGGTCTACACACTTAAGGTTCGGTGACGCTAGGGTTGTATGAATATGAGTATGCAGCAAACCGAATGTTGTTCGGAGTCCCGGATGAGATCCCGGACGTCACGAGGAGTTCCGGAATGGTTCGGAGGTAAAGATTTATATATAGGAAGTCTTATTTTGGTCGCCGGAAAAGTTTCGCACTTTATCGGTATTGTACCGGGAGTGCCGAAAGGGGTCCGGGGGTCCACCGGGGGTCCACCTGCCCTGGGGGGCCACATGGGCTGTAGGGGGTGCGCCTTGGCCTATATGGGCCAAGGGAACCAACCCCAAGAGGCCCATGCGCCAAGAAGACTTGGAGAGGGGAGAGTCCTAAAGGGGGAAGGCACCTCCGAGGTGCCTTGGGGAGGATGGACTCCTCCCCCCCTCTTGGCCGCACCCCTTCCTTGGAGGAAGGGGCAAGGCTGCGCCCCCCCCCCCTCTCCCTTGCCCCTATATAAAGGGAGGGGAGGGAGGGGCAGCCACACCCATAAGCCCTGGCGCCTCCCTCCTCCCTGCAACACCTCCTCCTCCTCCCGTAGTTGCTTAGCGAAGCCCTGCCGGAGTTTTGCTGCATCCACCACCACGCCGTCGTGCTGCTGGATCTTCATCAACCTCTCCTTCCCCCTTGCTGGATCAAGAAGGAGGAGACGTCATCCGCTCCGTACGTGTGTTGAACACGGAGGTGCTGTCCGTTCGGCACTAGGTCATCGGTGATCTGAATCACGGCGAGTACGACTCCATCAACCCCGTTCCATTGGACGCTTCCGCACGCGATCTACAAGTGGTATGTAGATGCAATCACTCTTCCATGACTCGTTGCTAGATGAACTCATAGATGGATCTTGGTGAAACCATAGGAAAAAATTTAATTTTCTGCAACGTTCCCCAACACCCCCCCCCCTCCATCAGTTCTAGAATAGGAGATTCATTGTTCCTGGCGGCGCCCCTCTTTGGAGCCCACAAAATATTTTGCACCATCACCATTGTACCCATCCATTTTCGCCTTTTTGCTGCTAGAGCTCGATTCAGGAGATACATGTTGTTTGTCCTCATCTCTGCCGTAAGTGAGAGCTGGAATTATGTTACTAGTGAGAGCTAGAATTGACGGATCTGGCTGGAGCGAGGGAAAGAGCGGAGCGACGTGACCTCATGAGTGTGATGTGTGTCGTCGATTGCCACCAGTACTCGCCAGAATCAGCTAGCGCAGCGGGTTAAATTTTTTTGCAACAAAACTATTGTTGCAACAGCGACATACACACAGTTGTTTAGAATGTTTCTGCAACAAGGATCCTCTTGCCAAAAATTCTGCAACATGACGTCTGCTGCGAGGTTTCTGCAACATGATTATTGTTGCAAAGACGTCTCTGCAATATTACCTCTGGCAATGGGGAACGACTCGCTCGGAGAAAAATCTAAGAGCAACTCCAACGGGCCGACCCAAATGAACGACATTTTTGTCCGCTGTTTGTCCGTTTGGGTCACCCATCCGCCTAACGGACATGAGCCGGACAAGGGCTGCCCGTGGATGAACCCAACGCACAAGACCAAAAAGCGGACACGCAATGTGGCGACGCAGCTTCCCTCCCACGCTCGCCCCGAGCTCGCCGCCGCGCCTGGCCCCGAGCTCGCCGCGGCCGGACGTTCCTCGCCATGCCCGGCCATCCCTCGCCGCGCCCGGCCAAGAACTCGCCGCGCCCGGCCAAGAGCTCGCCGCAGCCAGCCCCGAGCTCACCGCGCCCGGCCAAGAACTCGCTGCGGCCCGGTCCTCCCTCCCCGAGCTGGCTGTGCCCGGCCAACGAACTTCTGTTGTTGTGGCCGTGGGCGAGCTCATCTCCATGTCGGAGCAGCAGGTGCTCGACTGCACGGGCGGCGCCAACACCTGCAACGCATGTGACATCAACACCGCGCTGCGCTACGTCGCCGCGAGCGGAGGCCTGCAGCGGGACGGGATGGATCTGGCCGGTCGGCGCATACAGCGGCCAGCGCCGGTGGCCTCGCTGGTGCGTGCGGCCGGCGGAGGCACGAAGACCAGTGAGGGGCGGCGGATCCGCGCGGGGCGGGATGGATCTGGCCGACCAGCGCCGGATCCGGCCAACAGCAGACGAGATTGGGGCGGCGGCGCGGGAGCTGGGGACGAGCGGGCGGCCGCGCTGTGCTTCGGGGGCTGAATCGCATCTGTGGGTCGCTGATGCGTGGGATCAGGTCGGACACGCGAGGACACGAGCGAGCGACGAGAGCGTACGCTTTTGTCCGTCGCGGACCCATTTCTTCCCATATTTGCGTTCGGTTTGGGTCCGGGACGGACAGTAAGCGGACAGCGGGCGGACGTCTTGTCCGTTTGGGTCGCCCCGTTGGCCCATCTTTTCTGTCCGGATGACCTAAACAGATAAAATGGGTCTCCCCATTGGAGTTGCTCTAACGGCTCACGAGGTGAAAAGATCCGCCGGCCGACGCGTAGCATCCCTCGTAAAAGAAAAGTTTCCATAACGGGCTATGGTGTGAAAAAAGTTTCCATAACGGGCTATGGTGTGAACACCGATAATTCTCCATCCAGAAACCGCTGCTACGGAACAGAGCTCGACGGGAACTGGATTCAGAAGCTCCGCGCGCAGAGCTCGGCGGGAGATCGACCGGCCGATCGTCCATCCATCATGGCCAAGGTGATTACCTCGGACGCATTTCTCTCTCCGACCCCCGTCCAGTTTTTCTCGGGCCGCCGCCGCCGCCGCGATTCACCGCGTGCAGAGCTGAATGGGGTCGTAGGTTTGCCCGCTTAGGAGGAGGGCGACGGTGCCCTGATGGGGGCGCGGAAGGGGACGCGGCGCCGGCACCTCCGGTCGCTCTGGGTGGAGGTGGCGGCGGCGCGGCCGGAGGTTTAGGGTTTAATTTGGGGGAAATTGATTGAAGCGCGTGCGCTCGCATAATTTCCCGGGATTTGAAGCGACTTTGCAAATTCCATCGCGAGAATGCTGATTGCCATGGTCTGGTTCGGGTTTGCCAACTGAGCATTCGGGTGTCCTGTATCAAAATTTGGATATGGACCTCTGAAGAGCCTTGAAATCTCTGAAAGATGGATGACATACGTATTTTCTGCTTCACTGTCATATGCCTATATGGCCATCCCTTGCATTGTTACTGAACTTTGCATTTTGCTGGGCGCAATCTGCAGAAGGCTGGCGCTGATAGGACCGCGACGGTGAAGGCAGAAAGCTGCTCCAGGAAGAAGGCTAAGGTCGGGCCCGAGGCCAAGGCTGCGTCCTCGAAGATCACTGTCACCTTAGACCCCAAGTTGCTGGAGTGCTCGGTTTGTTGCAGCCCACTGGTTGCTCCCCTTTCTCAGGTACTGAACAGAGCCCTGTACTCGACGAACTAGTATTAAGTATTCCCTTGTTGAATTGAATTCTTACTCCATTTTATTAGATTCTTTTTACACCCTGCAATTTAGTTTCGTGTTATGAGGTTTCGACGATTTGTATCTTGTATGTTGATGTTGATGTATAGTTTCTGATATTTCACTTGTAGCAAATCTTGCATCAGTTATGATGTTTTGGTCAGTATGCTGATCGTAGGATTATATATTTTTTTCCCTTCGTCTCATTTCAGTACAGTTGGTTGAATGTTACTTGGGAAACTAATAAAATTAAGATGTGCACATATTGGTCCCAACTCATTTCAGTATGTATCGGTCAGTAACTTTGCATTTAGGTAAACTAAGTTTCCTTCCAGGGCAATGTGCGGACATATATTTTCTCCTGTGGCTTGTCAATTGCCATTACCAAGAATATATGATGCATTGCCAATCTTTGCATCAAAATCACCGTCGATAGTACGGCACAAAGTTGGCACCAGCGGTAATCCAGTGTTATGTCGTGCTTGTGCACTCCTGCTGTTTCAGTAACACATTCCTGATACCTTTCTTTTTGTCTGCAGTGCGCAAATGGCCATATCACATGTTTCAACTGCTCCTCCGATCTGAACTACAGTTGCAGCTTGTGTTCTGGGCCCGCCAACACCCACTGCAGTGCCTTGGAGCGCATCCTCGGCGGCCTGGCCGTGCCGTGCTCGTTCCAGGAGCATGGGTGCACCGAGATGATCCCGTTCACGGAGAAGCTGGCCCATGAAGAGTCCTGCCTCCATGCCCCATGCCACTGTCCCGTCGCTGGCTGCTGCCCCTACCCCGGCCGGTCCCTGCGCGACCACATCAACGCGGATCACCCTACGATCCAGTACACCCGCATCACGGCCGGCCGCCTCTACCCCCTGAGCATGCGCCATGACGAGCCGGCCCGCCTTGTATCCCTCGGCAGCAAGGCAGTCTTTCTTCTTGTGGTTGACCGGAGCATCCCGTCGGGGCTCACATTGTCGGTGATCCACCTCATGAGCGACCCGATCGAGAGGGAGGATTTCAAGTACAAGATCCAAGTGCATACGCAGACGGGCATTCTCTCTCTGTCCGGCGAGACACAGAGTGTCAGTCGACTGAGGGGGCCTTACCAGGCTGGCGCGTCGCTGTTCGTCTCGGACACCATGTGGTCTCCCCCAGATTCTCCAGTGTACCTCGAGCTGAAATGCTAAATCTATACTCAATCTGGTAGTAGAAGAATTCTGAGACTCCATTCTATGTTTGCGCTCTTGTCAGCTGTGACAATGTGGTTACTAGGAGTACATTATCTCTGTTGTTTGTCGAAGTTGGGTAATTGGATCATAACATATGGATTGGTGCAATGCTAGCTTAATTATTAAGCGAAAGGTAATTCTTGGAGAGTGCAGATAGCTGCTACTTCTTTTGTGTCCAACAGTGAGTTTGCAGATTTGTGAGGTTTCTGGTGCCCGGCCAAGAGCTACTACAATTCTTTTGTCCAACTGTATGCTTGCAGCTTTTCTCCATGCATGCATGCATGCATGTATTCTTGAGCTCGATCGATCCGTGAAGCGACAAAATTGAAAGAGTTGCCATTTTTCATGGTAGCACGAATAATTTTCAATAGATATATAGACTCCCCCCGTCTCATAATGTAATGTAAGACGTTTGACGTTTTTTGAAATAGTGATTGGATCGCATCTGGGCCGTTGGAGCCAAGGGGTGTTGGCAGGATAGACAAGGGCTGTTGGATAACTGAAGAATGTAGACGCCCTGTTGGGGGTATTAGCCATGTCAGCAATGCATCGAGACAGCTTCTGCATTGCCTCATCAGGAGAGAAAAATGTGCAAGTGCCAGGTGTTACCACACAGTATCAGCAACCATAATTCTTATAACAAGGTGATATAGATGGCATCACTCATAATTCTTACGTAGCTATATATCAGCAACCATAAATAAGGCAATAAAGGTGCCATCACTCGTCAGTTCTCACCATACATGGACAGACGCCCCAAAAGTCGGCATATAAATCAGCTACATAATTCTACTTAAGCAGTTATATAGATAATCCTATACAAAAGGAATGGACGACTAGCCTGAGTTTCTGCATCAACTGTCAGGTGCTACAACAGACTTAACCTCTTCGGTTTCATCATCCTAGGAAGAGCTGCCGGAGTCTAACTCTGAGGACGAGCTACCGGACTCTGAGGAAGAGCTGCCGGAGTCTGACTCTGAGGAAGAGCTGCCGGACGCTTGAGGCTTCACGCCTGCTACAATAGGCTTAACCTCTTCCATTTCATCATCCGAGGAAGAGCTGCCGGACTCTGACTCTGAGGAAGTCAAGGGGCTGCCAGGAACGGGAGCTACTTCTGGCTTCACAACGCTCACTGTTTCAGCTTTCATGTCTACTTCAGTTCTAGCGCGTGCTACTTCAGGAATTTCTTCATCTGTTTCATCATCAGAGGAAGAGCTACTGGACTCGGAGGAAGCCTCTGGAGCGTACATGTCATCGCTGTCTTCATTGTCCGTCTCCTCGAAATACTTCACGGCGTTCCTCTGCCTTCTCCCGCGGCCAAGATCCACCTTGGGAGTGGCAGGCTTGAATACTTTTAAATCCTCAACCTTGGGGGAGGGAGGTACTACGTCCTCGGCACCATGAGGAAAGCTCTCGATGCCGCCGAGATAACCGTTGCCTTCTTTAGTGCACATCTCATCACTAGAAGGGTCTAGCTTGAGGAGATTCTCAATGGCCTCGTCATCATAATGGATTGATACAGCTTTAATCTCCTTTTTGTCCTGAATTATCTTGGCTCCATGTAGTAGAATGGACTTCAGCTCATCAGCACTTGGCGGCTTCTTGGAAGAGTTCATTAAAATATTTTCAATGGCCAGCTTCTGCTTAGACTTCTGCAATATCTTTGCTTCAACAGAACATTTTGTAATAAGCTGGTAAACAACCACCGGTCGGGTCTGGCCAATCCGGTGAGCCCTGGACTGTGCTTGCAAGTCCATAAATGAATTGAAGTCTGGATCTGAACACACGAAGGAAAAATAAGTGCCAAGAGGATTTAAGGCGAATGAATCAGATAACTAAAAACCACTCACCATATATAATTACTCTATCAGCACCAGGCTACCATAATAGTGAATAATGTTAGTCCAGTTGCATAAAGTGGAAGAAATAAAAACCAATGAGGCTGTGAGTATTAGAATTCATACCAGGTCAATACCTATACCACCAGCACAAGTTGACATCAAGAAAATAAATGTTTCACTTTCAACGTTGTTGTGTTCTTTTATGCTCTCCTGCCTCTCAGAGAGTGCTGTCTGTCCATCAATGCTGCACGCCAACACAGATATATTAAGTGAAAAAAAGAAAGAGAAAAAAATGTCAGCTATACTCTGAAACGACTGAAGAAATATTGAGCATCACTGTAACCATATATCCATCAGAAGATTGAATGGCAAATGCAGGTCTGATTAATGAAACATACCGTGCATATGTGTATCCCAGGAAAGAAAGGAAGTCCTCAAGAATATCAAGCATTTTCTCATCTGGGAGAAGATCAATACACGGTTCCCTCTCTCTTTCAATTTTGGGAGCAACTGCAGATTAAGAATTGACGATTATTACATCCAAGAACAAAACATATGGAACAAATAAGCAAGCAACGCCTAGATAGGATGCAGTAGTAGGTCAAGGCACCTTGTGTAAGAGTTGAAGTTTCCCTGATGCAGAAACTAGTGATTGGAGAACATCTTCTCCTGCATGTTGTTTAACATCTGATCCTGTAAACAAATACTGGAGAAGGAGAAACAAATTAGCAGGAGAAGTGAGACTCAAAGTTAGAATCTATGAGTTCGCGTGAAAACATACTACAGAATGCAAAATTCAAATGCATGACAGACTGCACTAAATATGTTATATCGCCACCTCACACAAATCTTTGTCAAAATGTTCCTTATCGTAAAATATCAAGACACATGAAATTCCACAAGTTTATGGCAAGAAAGATTCAAGGAAAATAGATGTAGCCTTCAACAAACTAAATGGATGCAAAATCTACCGGATGATTGCAGCATTTTCGCAGTTCCATGAGCACGTTGTTCAGAGGACGCTTCTTTCCTGAAAAAGTTCACACAAGATCTGTCAGCCCCAATGTAAATATTACTTGGTTAGAAACAAGTACGTAAGCCCAATTATAAGAACATTCTGTGAAGTTAGATAACTTGGTTCCCACCACTCAGAGATTCTCCATGAGAAAATGATAATACGGCTATTACTTCAAGGGCAAGCAAGTTTCATAAGTCACAAATGCTGTCGGTGAGTACCCTAAAGTTTGTTCTTTGTCATTGTAAGTTGCTGATCAGAAAATCTAAGCTAGAAGTTCATGTGCCATTTAAGTTTAGGCATAGATCAATCCAAGTATAGTTGGTGAGCCAATTCCAAGACTTTTGTGGGATGACCCCGTTTTTCTAGTAGTATCGCAGTTAAGTGACTGGTGGTAAAAGCACGTACCATTTGAAGGCCATGCTAAATTGAAGGCCTCAAGAAGTTGCATGGGTCAAATATCACTCACTTTGCAAAAAATGCTCTCCTATATTTAAACTTCACACGCATAGTGCCATAATGTTAGCACAAACCAGCCACCTGGAGGCATTGCAACACCTGCGTATTTTATGGGTGGAGGCTGGACTACAAGTTGCCAATAGAGACAAACTTATGTCGGCTCACTGGCGTTAGGGATCACAGGAAGTGACTGTTGCATGCTAGACATCCAGAACTGACTAGCCAGGTTTTGCTGTTCTGTAGCCTAGATTTTGCTTTCTCGTAGCCCTGTTTCTGTTGCTATAAGTTCTCTTTTGGTTGTTTGTCGCTGACACTAGTGGCATTGTACTAAACAACTTCTCCGCGTGTTTTCTAATACAAAGTGGCACAGATTTATATGCATGGTCGAGAATAACATTAGCAGAAACCAACTTTATCAAGAGAATTTCATGCAGATTAAGACAAACTGGAAAAGTATATATATAACGATAAATGCAAGTGAAAACTCTTCAACTGACCATCCTGAATAGCACTGTTCAACTCTGAGTAGTTCTTCTCTAGAATATTAATGTAAAGATCTCTCTGAGAATCTGTAAGCGTACACGGAACTTCTACCCACTTCTTTGTTGGCATAGAATCTTTTAGCACATCAGCTTTCAATCTCCTCAACATCCTAGCAAATCAAACATGAAAGAACTAAGAGTCACATCCAAGTTATCAAATAAACAAAGTAAATAGCTTCATCGTTAGACAGAAAAATCACCTAGGCTTTAAAATCTCAGGAATGCGGGCGATTTTTTCATCTATTGTCAGACCCCGCTCAGATTCAATTGGTGAGAACAATGGATCATCATTTGGGTCAGAGAACTCATTTGGATCAATATAATGAAGCAATGAAAACAATTCCAGGACGTTATTTTGGAATGGTCTTCCCTGTATGGTCAAGAAGAAAAAGAGGAACAAGGTCCAACCACATGATCAGATCATTCCAGAAAAGGGCAACTAAAATGCATTTCGATGAGAAGTACTATATGCTATATTGCTGAGAGCCATATGTCACTTGATAGAACAGCTAGCACAAGTAGATCACGAAACATGGGCTATGGATTATTTAAGATTGCCGTTGCCTTAAGAAGTCTAGTGGTGAACGGACTCATCCAACCCAATTATGTTGGTGGCAGTGCAAGACAGCTGCAAGCCTGCAATGCCTCAAATAACATTTTATTTGGTCTGTGGAATCATATTGGGGGGGTAACTTTATAAATCTTACTATGTAAGATAACTATTCCGAAATGCCTACAGGTAGTGTGGAGTTGAAATATTTTCTCCTAAACAACTACAGTAGGCAAATGATGTCATTTCCCCAAAAGTCTATAGACCTCTTTCTGATGAAATTTTTTGACAGACCTCTTTCTAAAAACAAGGAAATCAATGATACCAAGCTGGTATGGACACATCCAAATCGATGATACCACAAAATATGAGTGAGCCCTTATGGTACACGATATATCACAGCTAAAGTACAAACTTCCAAGGATATGAGGTAAACAGGGTTTCCAATAGTATACTCTGTAATAGTTTGCATGACACAGATGGATTGCCCAGAATCAGACCAGATGGGACAAATCATTAACTTCTAAATTAAGCAAAAGTACACCTAGGGCTAGGGTATGGAAGACTTACTGTAAGTAGCAACCGGAAATCTGAGCTATATTTCTTTAGGCAGGATGCAAGATTACAATCAAGCGTCTTCAATCTGTGAGCCTCATCAACTGAAGCAAAAGGGAGGTGTTGTACGACAGCAGAAGTGTTAACTTGCAGGCTAATAAGAGACAAATTAAGACTAGATAACCTCGATGCAGCTAAAAAAACTTACTGACAATCGTTGACCACTTAATTTTTTTTAGAACTGCTTTATCAAGTTGGACAATCTCATAACTTGTCACTAGAGCATCAAACAGAGTCTTCCCTTTGGAAGAGTACAGTTCATGAGCTTGAATACACTTCCTGGAGTCCTTATCTCCTTGGTAAACAACAATACTAACATCATGTGCCCAGCGATCAAATTCCTAATACACAGAACATGCATCCAGAAATTACAGACTGTCCAGCTAACATAATAAGCACATTTTATACAGCATGAAGAGTTAAAGACAATGATTTGAGCTCCTTCACTACAAACGTTCAGGATACTATGGGAGAGGATCATGAAGGTTATACAAACCTTTTCCCATTGCAGTAGGATGCTCTTGGGAACAATGACCAATGCAGGAGATGTAGTCAGGCTTCCCTTGATTATGCGGTTGAGAAAGCAAACAACTTGGACAGTTTTGCCAAGACCCATTTCATCTAGCAATAGAAAAAGAAAAGGCAAAATTCCCATTATTGTCTTTACAATATAAATGAGAAAAGAACAAACAAGAATTATGCCAAGAAACTTCTTCAAGACATATGCATGCAGTAATTCACAAGTAACACCCTACATCAATGTCTTTGGTAAGAACAGTAAAGGTATCTCTTCAGACTGGGTTATTTCAGAAGGAACCAAAGTTAATACTTCCTCCGTCCGGAATTAGTTGACGCTAAAACTGATGTATCTAGACATATTTCAGTCCTAGATACATCAGATTGCATGGCGATAGATTTGTACATAATAATCATTGTACATAAAAACTCCCTATGTATCAATGCATTAAGATGCAAGACTTTTTGTTATCTCAAAAAATATGTAAGAAACCTTTGCAAAGACATTTGAATAATACTTGGGTCATATACTGAAATAATAGTAAAGGACACAAGTGCATGGATTGTGACTACAGTTCATGAACATACCAGCAAGAATAACGCTCCTCCTAGATTTGAAATTGTCAAGAATCCATTGTAATCCTTGAAGCTGATAAGCGTATAGTACATTTTCTGGGACCATCACGTCACTGTTCATTGGGCTTTGTAAAGTATTTTTATGCCGTTGGACAAGCATAGAAACAGCTGACGCCACGCCTTCAGTGCAGTAAGACTCCCATGTAACATCACAATAGTCAAGCCCTTTCCATTTGACGAGGAACTCGTACCCCTCAAAATCTTCATTATTGTGAAAACTAGCCAGGACGTCACATAAACCATCACGACCAAACTTCCGGCGGCATGCAATGGCACGATCTACTTCAAGCCATTCAGGTTTCCTTTGATCCTCCGAGTATGCTTCTTTAGGTAAGCTGTTGCAATAAGTTTGTATAATCATAGGAAAGAACATGAAAGAAAGAGTATTCAAAAGAAGTGTTACCAGTTAAGAACACAGGGCAAAAATTAAAAGGAAAATGGCAAGTGTGAGTTCATTACAGTTCATTATTCATTCAGGTCTTATAGAGTAACCAGAAGGAGAAAACAAATCAGTAGATAGCAGATTTAAACTGCCTGTACTCCCTCCGATCGATATTACTTATCGCTCAAATGGATGTATCTAGACATATTTCAGTGCTAGATACATCCATCTAAGCGACAAGTAATATGGATCGGAGGGAGTAAAAAGAATACTTGTTTGACTGTTCAAAGATTACATATATACGTAGTTTATAACACATCAATGAAGAAAACTTTGCCTACATGAACCAACTAGATAATTGGCATCAAAAGGACAGCTTCAGATCTGACAAAAGAATAACAGCAGTAATTATATAAGGCAAGGGGCTTACGTATTCTTGCTTATGTAGGATCGTGCTCGTTGACGCTCAACAACAAGAAGCCAATCAAGTGGAACCTGGAGCATGCAAAATCCAAATGATTCAGTAAAATAATTAGAAATTTCACATTGATTGTACTGACATCACATAGCCGAAAGCCATTCTAACAAAGGAAATATATGTAGCTAATGAGCTATGGCCATGCATGAGTATGTGGCAATAGGGGCCGACTGCAATGCCAAAGCAGCTACAATAATGTGGCAAGGAGGGAAACAAACCCAGCAGTCGTGATGATGAGAAAGTGATTGCCATTTCACGAGCATTTGATACGAGAAATCTGACTCCTGAAGAATCACCCGTCTGCAACCTACAAGCCTTTGGACCTTTTTTGGGGCATACACTTCCGTCCCGTTAGCCAACGATGCTTGATTGATTTTGCAGAGAGGACATTCCAAAGTGCCTCTACTATCTTGCATCGGAGGACTAAGACAGAATGTGTGGAAGCTACGAGAACAGCTTGAATTCTGGCACTGGATTAGAAGACAGCTGCCAGCTCCACTCTGTGCACAAATAAATCAAATAAGATTGATGGATACAAGGCAATGAAAAATAACCAGCTCGACAAACCTTACAAATTCCTCACAAAAATAACACACCTTACATATTGAGCAAATAGGTCCACTAGAAGTGCGTTTGCAAGGTTTTACAGTACTACGCAATAGCTCATCATCTGATAGAAAACAGAAAGTTAGTGTTAGAATATCAACCTCGCAAACAAGCACACATGTACCCAGCAGATCATTAAAAGGCAGAACATTGTGTGAACGTGAGTCTGTACACTGTCACAACAGCAAGCTGCAACAAGCATAATTAAAGAAGTATAGCTGCAACATGCTGTCACTCAAGAACATTAATTCATGAATGGTGCACGCATAAACACAGACACATATAGTAACAGTTATACAAGATTTTTAAAAATTTCTGTGATGAGTTGGCTGTCACGTACCAACTGTGCATAATATTGGCACCGTAAATCCACCACAAGGGCGATAAACTGACGGTTTTCAACAAATCAGTAACTTATTTACCTGATCCTGAAGATTTAGACGTTGACAACATACACGGAGAAGCTTCAGTGCACCTCTCCTAGAAATGAATAGGGGACATTTATTACTTCATGAAGAGCAGGAATTAACGGAGTACTTTTTGTGAATTTACATCTGAAACATGATCAGCCTTCTGTTTCTCTTGTAGGCGCTTTGACATTCTTCTGCATGGAATTGCCTTCCTATGATCTGTGGTGATTTCAAAAGTAAAATTTAACACGGGTGGCACATGATGTTCGAGAAAATTTTGTAAGCCACATGATCACCCAATTGGAACAAAATAGATACAAATTACTGCAGCTTAAAAGATGTAGTAGTTCTTAATCCACTATGGGTGTGTTCATACGAACTTACTCTAATCAAGAGGGGGCATCTGATCAAATGATATTCGAAACTTAAGTGAAGGTTAAAAGTTTGAGCGAGTTCAAAACCAAATCATGAAATATATTGTGCAATGGAACAAAGATAATAAGCAAGCATAGTCCTCCATCGTATCATCTTATAAGGATCCTTGGTTATCTGACTTGGTCTTTCCAAAAAAAGGAGAAATGCTTCCAAAAGGCTCCTCAATTAACTCCAGAAAAATGCATATGGAGAGTTTATGAAGCAAAACACACAGAAAAAGGAGAATTATGGTAACAAAATGTAAATAAAAATATTGATCACAAAGGGTGCCAACTTACTATCCACAGTGTCACTATCAGAATCGCTGTTGTATGCATCTTTGCTAGTTCCCATTCTGTGCCGAAGACGCTTTGATCTTTGCTGAGGAGTCAAGTGATCATCATCAGCACAATGCAAACTTTAAATTATTTGCCACAGAAGAATGGATATATGGCTCTCTCATTTTGTAGGGAGTATTTGGTTGGTTAAGACAATGTTTTGACAAATTTAGCACACAAAAGATTGAACACTTAAGCATACCATCATCATAGCTACTCCGCGATATGTTTTTGTCTTCAGTCCCTTCACCACTGAAATACTCGGATATAAATCTCTTTCTGAGGCGGTTTGGCCTCCTTTGTCGAACCAACATTTTGGAGTCTGACACACCGTTGGAATTCACGTATCAAGACATATGACAACTTCACTCTAATTCATACATCTTCAAGTAAAAAACTGCAAGCAACTCACCCTTAGCATCCTTGCTGTTCACAAATACATCAGGCTGACTATCCCTGCTACTCAATTCTTGCTTTTCAGTTCGTTCCCTCTGTAGGCGTTTGGACCTTCTGCATGGATGCAACAGCTGCCCATCTGCAGTGAAAATAAGTTCAAACTAATATTGTGAGTTGAAATTGTAAAACAAACCGTAACCTTGTAATACATGCGAAACACCATTTAGAATTAACAAAGGAAGCCAACTTCACTCTAATCTATACATTTTAAGTTTCAGAACTGTAAATAGCTCACTCTCTTACCAAACTCGCTGTTTGCAAATACATCTAGCTTTGTGTAATTATGATAAATATCTTATCTTATTAAAAATAGATTAAAGAAGTTTACAGTCACTTCAAGAGGCTAGAAAGTTCCTGCATTAATAGGAAAAAGAAGATCTTGGCTGCAGATTTCGGTGGGTTAAAAATTATATTGATGCAAAAATAAACAAATCTGGATAAGAATTGCTACAGTTGCATAGCAAATTTAACTCTGTTTATGTATGTAGGCACACAATTCTACCAAATTATACAACAGTGAATCAAATGTCACTTGCAACAGAAATGCAAACATATGAACAAGTCAGCACGTATTTGGGCATGTACAGGTGCAGCTGGTGCACAGGGGGCCAAAAATCTTGGAGTCCCCAATTTTTTTCTTAATTAATAAAAGTACTACTTACTACGAACTAATGAAGCTTCGACATTAAAAGATAAAATAACTTGATGAGAAATATCTCATGTTAGATATAGTATCTCCACCTCACGTGTCTCTTTTACCCTACTTAAAACTCCCAATCCAGCCCATCAAAGAATAGATTAATCGCATAAACCTAATTCTTGGTGTTCCCTCTGCCAATGAATAGTGTAAAGAAGCCATATCGCTCTAATCTTAGAACCATGATGCTAGAAGGACGGGACATTTCATCCTCATTTGCCACTGCCTCGTGCTAAAAGGACGGCACATTTCAGTTAATAGTTTCAAGGTTAGCCTTTTGGCAGGTTGTAATTTGTTGACAGAAAATGTGCTGTTGTAATAAGTAAAACCAATGTTTTAATTATTTCTACATTCAAGGTCTAATTTTTAGTCCCATTAATTTCTCACACACTAGGGAGATTTAACAAAATAACTCAAAAGAGATATCAGTGTTCCTCCCAACACACATACCTTCACCATTGCTCGGCATGACTTCAGCAGCCTGCACCTCGTCCTCGTGCAACTCAGAAGTTGCAGCACCACCGGCGGCCGCTGTTCGCTTCCTAAGACGCCCGAGGTTCTTTGCGGAAACTAGCATGCAGCCATCAGTTGCAAACACAAATAGGGAGTTAGTTAATGTATAGAACGTGAATGGAGCTTCGCGCCTCAAGCGACGAACTTCTAACCACACCTTCCTTCGGGGATTGGCATGGGGGCACCTCGGAAACATCTGCCGCGCATCCCTCTGCCTGCGTTGCTGACTTCGGCTCATCTGTAAACAAAATCGCAAGGTTATAGTACTCCTTCGACCCATCGAGAAAAAGTGTTAATCTGAACGAAATTTCGCATCTGACACGGTGGTCGTCTGGTCGACACAGCAACTGACTGAAGAAAAAAGAACATCTGCCCCCACACACAAAAAAAAAAAAGCAAAGACAAATCGAACACGCCAAAATGGGGGGTGATTCTTTCGGATCGGGGGAACATCGATCGACGCGCCCTGGAAAAATCGATCTGTGCGCGGATACTGCAAATGCATTCGAACCAAAAGAGTAGCTCGAAACTCGCTTCAACTTCCGAGCTAGGACCTACCACCACGTGAATCCGGCGAAACGCGAAGCGAAAATCGCCTAAACGCTCGATCGAAACCAAAATGCGAAGGGAGAACGAAGAAAAAGGGCCAAGAGATCACTCACCATCGCTGATGAGCTCGACCACCTCCATGGCGCGCTCGTCCCGCGGCGGCCGAGCGGCGGCGGCGGCGGCTCCCCGCCATGCTCTCCCCGTCCCACGCCTCCCGCCTCCCCGCGGCATTGCTCGGGATTCGCGGCCCGGGGCGGATGGGCTAGGGTTTGCTTGCCGAGTTTGAAACGACGGCAGCGAGGGAGGATTGGGACTGCACACGGGGAGTGTGGGAGGGGGCGGAGAAGGGGGCGCAGGTTTAATACTCCTAGCTCGGACGCGGTTGGGGGAGAGCGCAGGCGCGAAGCTCGATGCCGCTGTTTCTTTTCGGTGAGATCGGCTTAGACTCGTCATAGTGGGGAGTAATTCAGAGGATGCTTAAATACGTTTTAGTCTTATGACTAAAAGTAGTGGAACTAAAATTTGTTAACCTCACACATGCTTGGATACAAATACTAAATAGACTAAAATCGAGTTAATGAGCATTTATTATCTTCCAAACCCTTCAATCCAGAACTCGCATGTGTTAAAAGAGAGGAGTTAAATGAGAAGATAGAGGACTAATCCATATTTTAGTGGGTTCCCCTGATTATGTTACTCCCATTATGACTAGCCTTACAAGGTTTGGCCGTTTGGGTAGACGGCATGTTGGTCCAGTGTGGTGTGTTGGCTATGGTTTCCCGTGGGACTGGTCCATGGATGGGCGGGGAGCAGAAGTGGCGGGCGGGGGAGCGGGGAAGAGAGGTCGGCTGCGGGTGGTGATTTTTGGGCTATCGTATAGGAGAAGGTATCCGTGCGGATTATGTGCGACGTTCCCCAAAATTAACATGCTGGTGTACAGTAAGTAGGCTTGACGAGATCTTTTGTGGAAATTTTAGTTCTTATAAAAACATCCACTATCTTTTATATATGGAGATGTCCGAATGTGCTGAAAAGATTGAGAGATTTATGTGGTTATGAAAAGTGAAAACGAGCATCGCGTCATCAATTTTTGTTTACTATTACTCCCTCCGTCCGAAAATACTTGTCATCAAAATGGATAAAAAAAAATGTATCTAGAACTAAAATACATCTAGATACATTCCCTCTTATCCATTTTGATGACAAGTATTTTCAGACGAAAGGAGTACATATGTTACGTTTATAGACAAGGTACTTCAAATCCAACACATATTTCACGCCTGCGTGTCCTTCAACGCGCGCGTGGGCGTTTTGCTCCACTCAATGTCTTTCCTCCAGTGTCCTCTCCATCCACCTCTGTTGAGTATCGTGATTATTAGGAATGTTACACTTAACGATATCCTAAGATCAAGAAAACGTGATCACCAACAACACTCGAGCTAGTCTTAGAGGCAAGATTAAGAACTTTTATTTTATCCGTTTATCATTTCACACGTGCATATGAGGTTTTCACTGAATCGCATATTCCAGGATCATAGTAGTTATAGCATGAAATATAAACTCTTAACTATGAATATGAAAATATAAAAATATAATACAAAGAACAGTTAGTATGAACATGAAATCATAAAGCTTTGGGATTGCTGTTGGTTTTATAACTTTGCTTGTGTTGTCTTAATATAGTCTATCCCAAGCCCGGGTAAAGGAAGAGGGTGTTGGGGAACGCGGTAATTTAAAAAAAAAATCCTACAATCACGCAAGATCTATCACTAGGTGATGCATAGCAACGAGAGGGGAGGGTGTTATCTACGTACCCTCGTAGACCGAAAGAGAAAGCATTATGACAACAAGGTTGATGTAGTCGTACGTCTTCACGATCCGGCCGATCCTAGCACCGAAGGTACGGCACCTCCGCGATGTGCACACGTTCAGCTCGGTGACGTCCCGCGAACTCTTAGATCCAGCTGAGGTCGAGGGAGAGTTTCGTCAGCACGACGGCGTGGTGACGGTGATGATGAAGTTACCGACGCAGGGCTTCGCCTAAGCAGTGTAACTGTGGAGGGGGGCACCGCACACGGCTAAACAATCAACTTGTGTGTCTATGGGGTGCCCCCCTCCCCCATATATAAAGGAGTGCAGGAGGGGGAGGGTCGGCCCTCTCATGGCGCACCCAGGGGGGAGTCCTACTCCCGGTGGGGGTAGGATTCCCCCTTCCGTAGTTGGAGTAGGAGAGGAAGGAAGGGGGAGAGAGAGGGAAGGAAAGGGGGGGGCCGACCCCCCACCCAATTCGGATTGGGCTTGGGAGGGCGTGCCCTCCACCTGGCCGCCTCCTCCTCTCTCCCAATAAGGCCCAATAAGGCCCATACACTCCCCCGGGGGTTTCGTTAATTTCCCGGCACTGTAGTTTTATCCGAAACTTCTCCGGAACACTTTCGGTGTCCGAATATAGTCATCCAATATATCAATCTTTATGTCTCAACCATTTCAAGACTCCTCATCATGTCCGTGATCACATCCGGGACTCTGAACAATCTTCGGTACATCAAAACACATAAAATCATAATACCAATCGTCATCCAATGTTAAGCATGCGGACCCTACGGGTTCGAGAACTATGTAGACATGACCAAGAAACGTCTCCGGTCAATAACCAATAACGGAACCTGGATGCTCATATTGGTTCCCACATATTCTACGAAGATCTTTATCGGTCAAACCGCATAACAACATACGTTGTTCCCTTTGTTATCGGTATGTTACTTGTCCGAGATTCGATCGTCTGTATCTCAATACCTAGTTCAATATCATCACCTGCAAGTCTCTTTACTCGTTCTTTAATACTTAATCCTGCAACTAACTCATTAGTCACAATGCTTGCAAGGCTTATAGTGATGAGTATTACCGAGAGGGCCCAGAGATACCTCTCCGAAACACGGAGTGACAAATCCTAATCTCGATCTATGCCAACCCAACAAACACCTTTGGAGACACCTGAAGAGCACCTTTATAATCACCCATTTACGTTGTGACGTTTGGTAGCACACAAAGTGTTCCTCCAGTAATCGGGAGTTGCATAATCTCATAGTCTGAGGAACTTGTATAAGTCATGAAGAAAGCAATTACAATGAAACTGACACGATCATAATGCTAAGCTAGCGGATGGGTCATGTCTATCACATCATTCTCCTAATGATGTGATCCCGTTTATCAAATGACAACACATGTCTCTGGTTAGGAAACATAACCATCTTTGATTAACGGGCTAGTCAAGTAGAGGCATACTAGGGACTATAGATTTTGTCTATGTATTCACACATGTACTAAGTTTAATGTTAATACAATTCTAGCACGAATAATAAACATTTATCATGAATTAAGAAAATAAATAATAACTTTATTATTGCCTCTAGGGCATTGCTACGTCTTGAGCTTGCGTTGGTTTTTCTTGAAGAGGAAAGGGTGATGCAGCAATAGTAGCGTAAGTATTTTCCTCAGTTTTTGAGAACCAAGGTATCAATCCAATAGGAGGCTCCTCAAAAGTCCCACACACCTACACAAACAAGCAAGAACTCGCAACCAACGCAATAAAGGGGTTGTCAATCCCTTCACGGCCACTTGCGAAAGTGAGATCTAATAGAGATAGTATGATAAGATAAATATATTTTTGGTATTTTATAATATATATTGGAAAAGTAAAGATGCAAATAAAAGTAGATTAAAAGTTTATATGATAAGAGATAGACCCAGGGGCCATAGGTTTCAATAGTGGCTTCTCTCAAGATAGCATAATTATTACAGTGGATGAACAAATTACTGTCGAGCAATTGATAGAAAAGCAAATAATTATGAGATTATCTAGGCATGATCATGTATATAGGCATCACGTCCGTGACAAGTAGACCGACTCCTGCCTGCATATACTACTATTACTCCACACAGCGACCGCCATCCAACATGCATCTAGAGTATTAAGTTCATAAAGAACAGAGTAACGCATTAAGAAATATGACATGATGTAGAGGGATAAACTCATGCAATATGATATAAACCCCATCTTTTTATCCTAGATGGCAACAATACAGTACGTGTCTTGCTGCCCCTGCTGTCACTGGGAAAGGACACCGCAAGATTGAACCCAAAGCTAAGCACTTCTCCCATTGCAAGAAAGATCAATCTAGTAGGCCAAACCAAACTGATAATTCGAAGAGACTTGCAAAGATAACTTAATCACACATAAAAGAATTCAGAGGAGATCCAAATATTTCTCATAGATAAACTTGATCATAAACCCACAATTCATCAGATCTCGACAAACACACCGCAAAAAGAGTTACATCGAATAGATCTCCAAGAAGATCAAGGAGAACTTTGTATTGAGATTCAAAGAGAGAGAAGAAGCCATCTAGCTAATAACTATGGACCCGAAGGTCTGTGGTAAACTACTCACAACTCATCATAGAGGCCTTGGAGATGATGTAGAGGCCCTCTGTGGTCGATTCCCCCTCCGACGAAGCGTCGACGAAGGCTCCCAGATGGGATCTCGCGGATACAAAAGTTTGCGGCGGTGGAAATAGTTTTTCGTTGTCTGTTCTGATGTTTTCGGGGTACATGGGTATATGTAGGAGGAAGAAGTAGGTCGGTGAACACTCGAGGGGCCCACGAGGGTGGGGGGCGCGCCGGGCACCCTCGTGGCCGCCTCGCTTGTTTCTTGACTTCCACTCCAGGTCCTCTGGATCACGTTTGTTCAAAAAAGATCGCTCTTGAAGGTTTCATTCCGTTTGGACTCTGTTTGATATTCCTTTTCTTCAAAACACTGAAATAGGAAAAAAACAGCAATTCGGGCTGGGCCTCCGGTTAGTAGGTTAGTCCCAAAAATGATATAAAAGTGTAAAGTAAAGCACATAAACATCCAAAACAGGTAATATAATAGCATGGAACAATCAAAAATTATAGATACGTTGGAGACGTATTAGGCATATTTCCTTCAGTCTCCCACTTGCACTAGAGTCAATAATCTAGATTACATAGTAATGATTCTAACACCCATGGAGCTTTGGTGTTGACCATGTTTTGCTTGTGGAAGAGGCTTAGTCAATGGGTCCACAACATTCAGATCCGTGTGTATCTTGCAAATCTCTATGTCCCCTTCCGACACTTGATGACGGATGGAATTGAAGCGTCTCTTGATGTGCTTGGTTCTCTTGTGAAATCTGGATTCCTTTGCCAAGGCA